AGGCAGCAATTTTAAGATTAATAAAAAATTTATTGCAGCTTCACAAGCAATTTTTCTATGAACACATTACAGAAAAGAAATCATGCAAGCTCAAGTGGGAGGAATTGAGAGGTTGTCATTGGGCTGGGTGACTTGTTAGGAGGCAAAGACATATTTTAGGCAAAAGTGATATCCTGGATTATGTACATGAGAATTTTAATGCCAGCAGAGTTGAGGCCTTGTACCCCTTTCAAGAGGACACTTTACTTAAGTGCCTCCTTGCAGGTTTATGCATAACTTTTCCTGCAAAAGTTTTAGTATTGTGCTTGCTTTCTTTATCACCTCTGTGGGTTTTTTTTTCACAAGCTATAGAATGGTGGAAAACCCAATTATACTATTTTTTCTACTCCAGATCTAACCAGAGTACACTAATGAAAAGCTCCATCATGTCTGGCTCATTCAGTATCATGTGTGAATTCTTTAAGAGTTTTATTTTGAATGCTTTAAGGGGTTCTTTTTGGGATGTGTTTGATTTCCATTCCATGTCACACAGTAGTGATTGAGAAAACATCTCCTCCTCTGCCTGTTGAAGTTGCTCCTGAAGTCTCTACTTCGAGTGCAAGTCAAGTAATTGCACCTACTCAAGTTACAGGTATTGTACTTCCTTTTTAAAACTAAAATAAATTAAGAAATGACTGTGAGTTCCTGACACAATAAATTGTTCCATGATACTTCTGAATTATAATAGCAAAGAGAATGTAGCTGTAAAACAGAAAGGATTACTCTGGGGAGAGATAGAAAGTACAGAGCAGCACAGCAATGAGTGTACTCTCAACAGTGCAAGGACTGGGCCCTCATAGGATGTACCTGCCATTTTTGTGCCCTCAAATAAATGATAGAAGGGAAAAATAATAATTCCACTTCAGATTTACATGATCTGCAATCAAAATGGAACTGAAAACTTCTTGGATAGAAGTCAGGTCTTTAGCCAATTTGCACATGTGTTCATGAAGTATACATAATCATGTTCTTTGAGGCATGTAGACTTTGTGAGAACATTACAATGTCACTTTGGCTTGTCTCTCAAATAACACAGGCTTTGAACTAATTGCAATATCCAGGTAAATACTTTAAGATGCAGTATTATATATGGTATAGATATCTAGGCCTACCACAAGGTTTCATAACTTGCATTCACAGGGAGAAATTGCACATATTTTAATTGAAGTTTAACTCTTCAAAGATGGCTTTCCTTCATGCAGGAATGGATTTTTGAGTTGCACGCATCACACACCAACTCTAAGTCACCCAGTTCTTTGAAGTATGATTCTGTCTGCAATTAAATCCTGAATCTACTGTAAGAGTAGAGAAAGTATCTGCTCCTGTAAGAATGCAGCTGCCTCCTTTAGTTAACCTATAATTCCAGTCAGTCAATCTCATCTGAAAGTTCTAGTAGTGATTATCAAACCAGAATAAGGAAGACAGCTCTGGTGTGACCGTGCTCCTTTGGCCAGCCGGCTCCCTGCTTCCTTAAGGGAAGAGGAAGTTACCCTGCTGAGAACTCACATCAGCACATCAGTTAGTTAAAATATGGCAGTTTTCCATGTTCTGCTGGTTTTTCTTTCCTCAGGAAAAGTAGCAGAACTAGAAGTTGCTGTGTGCTATAAACAAATCAATCTGTTACTCAGTTACAGTTCCAACTGTTGTTTAGATACTTAAGAGACAGAAAAATAAAAGTGAAGAATGCAGTTAGAGCTAAGAAGTTTTGAGTGTGTTAGTTCTGTACTTTAAGATGTAGTTAAATTTAACCTATTTCTAAGTAGGATCCTATTTCTGAATAAATGATTCTCCTTTACAGATAACTTCTTTTTCAGGAATTAAAATTTCATGGTGCTGTATATCCTTAGCTTAAACTGCAACTAAACACAGTCATTAGTTCATTAGTATTCTTTTGCAGTAGCACATGTACTTCAAGAATTTCTAAAACTGCTATAGGGTTTTAGCATCTGATGAATCTCTTTATCTTAAAAAATACATCCAAGCCGTTAACAGACGAGTGTTCTCTAAAAATAATCTGAAACCCACTACAGTTATTTTCTTAACCTTTGCTAAGTTTAAATCATGTAATTATGTATTTTATATTGTCTTTTTTTTAATGTACCCATATATAAATCTTGTCTGGGACATAGAGTATGGTTTCTAGATTCTTCTAGGTAAGGTATCCATCACGGAAACTCAGGACTTAAAAACTTGATTCACAGTTGATTTCAGGCCTAAATTTCTACTTGGATTACAGAATATTCTGCACTTACTGAATTATGTGGGAGAGTTTAATGTTAAATTTTTGTTTGTTTGCTTAGAAATCAATGAATGTACAGTTAATCCTGATATCTGTGGAGCCGGACACTGTGTTAATTTGCCTGTGGGATACACTTGCATCTGCTACGAGGGGTACAAACTTAACGATCAGCAGACAAAGTGCTCTGGTATGAATGGATGCTTTCAAAAATCTGAAATAACCATGCTATGAAATGCTTGAAATGTAAAGTCTGGTCAGGGGAAATATGCTACAGAGCAGTCAGGAGTTGCTTCCTTTACTGAATGTTTCCAGACTACACAGAAACTAGGTTTTGTATGTCAAATAAAACTTGCCAGCTAGTCTCTGATTATAGCGTTTCTGCCACTCGGAACTGAACATGAATTTAATTGAACGAAACCCTTTCCCATTGTGAGATGAAAGAAAAGTTGATTAGGCAGACCATCTCTTCTCAGCTTTTGTATCAGGTATCTAAACACCATCAGACTGCCAGGAAGAAATACGCTTCTGTTTGGATAAAGAATGATTGAATTTGTGCCTGTTTCTCAGAATGATTTACCCAGCTACCAGCTTTGCAGCTGGACTAAATCCAGTCATTTTGTTAGGGCTTTCCTTTCAACCTTCTGCTGAAAAGAGAAAGTGTATCATAAACATCCCAGAAGCACATTAGGAGATATGCAAAGTGAGGTCTTCATACCCTTCTAAGCTAGTAAATTCTGAAACAGAGTGCTCTGATGAATATGAGGCAGAGTCCAGACTGGCTTTACGTGAGCTGTTTCAGATTTGAAAGCAGCGATATTGGTATCTTTCCTTCATTCAGAGTATGCTGGTTCCTCAGTAACTTGGATCAGAAAGAGTTTATTATGTCATGCTGCCAGATTATGTACTACCAACTTTTCATGCTACTAAAAGTTCAATAACTTCATGCTGATACACATGCTATTGTGTACAACTACAATATTTAAAAAATAATTTACACAGCCAAATAGCAGCTGAAAATCCTTCCAATCCATCCAAATTGTGTTAACGTCCCATGCTTGCAGCTTGTGCTCAGCTACACTGCTCATTCAGTGTAGTGATTTGAATAGTAATCATGTCGCATTCTTCAGGCCAGTGAAATATTCTTATAGACTAAGCCAATAAGAGTGGTTTTTTCCAACCAAAACTATTTAATGCATTTTTATTTTTATTTTAATTTTTTTCAGCTCTTAGAGAAAGGAAAGCAGATTTTTTTGAATAGTTTAAATAATTACAAGATCAGTCTTTTCAAAAGCAGGGCATAGAATGAAAAAAGAAGAATCACAACTAAACATGTTATTCTATAGTCTTGTGTGTTTTTATTTCTTTTATAGATATTAATGAGTGTACTCAGGCACCCCACCTCTGTTCCCTTGGACGCTGTGAAAATACAGAAGGAAGTTTCCTATGTATTTGCCAAGCTGGATTCATGGCCAGTGAAGATGGAACTGACTGCGTTGGTAATTACTGGTCTCCTTTACAGAAAATAAAAAGACAAAAATGAATCAAGAAGCTTATCTGAAACCCCCCAAAGTCCCCTTTTCAGCTTTTTTTCTCAGTGTCATTGGTACTGGACTTATGTCTAGAAGTGTTTTCAACTGCTCTCACCAGGTATTGTGGTGAGGAAAACATTTGAGTAGCTTCTACTATTTTTCAAAATGATTATTTATTGAAAAACAAGAATTTACTCAGTATCATGCTTGTTTAGGAAAAATACCACTTTGTAAAAGCACCTGCTGTGGTAGAAAATACAAATATTCAAAATCATTTCAATCATTGGCAGCTGTAACAAACCATATGTTTAAACGTAACTGCAAACAGCCGTGAACATTGCAGAGCAACATGACCAGTGTGCATTAGCTATGATCATCCTCAGGTTAGCGCTGCCTTGGGCACAGTGTACGCACAGTGACACGCGTTGTGTTTGCAGCCACGGGGCTGCTCACTGGCTGCCTTCCTACAGCCATGTTGTTTCTAGATCTCTTTCTCTCTGCAATTACAAGCAGTGAGGTAAAGATGGAACTGTTCAGGAAGAACAGCTCTAGGACTGTGGTCTGCAAACAGCTCCAAAAATCCAGAGTTATTTACGTATACTTAAGACAGTTTAAAGGAGATGCAAGTATTCAGTAATTCCCTGGTGAAGCAAAGTTTCTCTTCTCTTTTACATCTGCAGATTTTGATGAATGTGCAAGACCTCATACTTGTGGGGAAGGCTATTGTATAAATACAGTTGGCTCATACAGATGTGAATATTGTGATAGTGGATACCAAATGAACAGGAGAGGTGAATGTGAAGGTAGGTTTGGACTAATAATACAGTAGCAGTTGCCAAGCCAAACAACTGCAACAGGATGAGCCATTTGTTCACATTGACTGCTGTTCCCGATCTCAATAGAAAACTTTACATCTATGGGTTTAGTTTTGAAGAAATCTGGCCATTAGATGGAAATATTAAAATAACACAGATTATTTTTTTTTTCATGTTTAATTTAAATGTTTTCTACCTGGTATATTTCTTTTAATTCATTTCAATCTCCATTTGCTATTTGATTTCAAATGGAATGTCTTGGCACAGTGGTTTTATATGTATTTTTGTTTGTAGTTCCCTTTCTCCATCTAACTCTGTCCTTATTTCCATGGGTTATTTGTCTAGCTTAATCTTTCGGCTGGATTTATCTGACAGCTACTTTCTCCATTTAATTTGCCTTTAGATCATTTAATTTCCACCCCTCCCCAGACACCAGCTGAAAATGGCAGAATGTTCAAAAGGACATTGCTTGTTTTATCTACAGAATGTCCTGGATGATGAAGTGAAGTTACCGTTTACTTATTTCACAAAGAACAGTGACAAATTTTAGCACTGTTTGGAACAATTAACCTTGTCCACAGTTCAAGGGAGGCTTAGCACTGCAGCTTTGAGCTGTAAAGGGAGAATTCTCAGAAGGCGAAGTCTTAAACAAGAAACCTTTTTGAGTACTCTCCAATCTTTTCAGTTATTTGATGCCTGGAACCACAATGCAGTTCCTATCATTTAGATTTAAGATGCTGCAAAGGTCTTCCCCTGCTATGGACAGAACTATCTTGGGATCACTATTTTAACGGGTCCTGCCATGAAACCTCTTAACTTCATGGTTAGTCCTTCCCTGCATACTTTACCAAGTTTCTTCTGTTTCAGGGAAAAGGAAAAAAAAAGCTGTCTTTGATCCTATCATATAAAAGGCAGCAAATGAAAAGTGGGCTTTTTTAAATTTGGAAATGTATACTAGCAGGTATTTCATGTTCCAGGAAATCCTAGGACATCTGACCTTCAAAACCTCACATTATTTTTCAGCATGATATTTTTGCCTTTTTTGCTGTTCTTTTTTCGTCTTTCATATTTAACTTGAATTGTGAACTAAAAACCACAAGCAGCCATTTCATTTTAAACATAGTTTTGTTCATGCTTAGTCTAAGTTATTTAGGACAGAATAAAATTGCTAACATGTTAGGTTGCCTAGCAAATAAGCAACTTAAAGCTGCTGTGGATATATTTGCTGCTCTGAGCATTGCTAAAAGATTCCGCTTTCTCTTCAGACCTTTTGTTTTTTAGATAAACGTTTCACACGCTCCGCTTTTACAATTACTTTTTCCAAATCTTCTCTGTCAGTAGAGAATCTGTGATTAAAATATGCTAGAAATCAGAATATCACAGTGCATCGAGTTTCTTATTAGCTTGTATTTTAAGTAGTGTGGTCATAGTCCCCTGTCATTTAATTTAACATTAACATTAAAACTAATGTTTAATTTCTGAAACTAAATTCTTTGATGAAAGTTATTTAAGGTTGTTTAAGGGAAAAACCATCCTGACACTAAATCCGTCAAACCAAGGAAATGACACATTTGGGGAGTCATTTCACTGTGTCATTACACCTACACGTTATAGTCACTTACTGACAGATTCCAGATTCCGCAAGCAACTTCTGCCTCCTCCACACTTCAAAAACAAAGGCAAGAATCCTCCAAGCTGCACACAATACACACAGATCACTTACGCTTCCTAATCCCATCTTCATTCTGCCTTCAAGCTATACTGACACAAGCTCTGTTGTGGGCCTAGCCTGGGAAACGTAAAGAGTGTGTATATGTTGTTGTTGCACAGTCTGTTGTTTTTGTAGAACAGTGTTACAGGCACCGTTGAACATCGTTGCATGCAATTAAATTTTCCTATAAAATCTTGTGAGTTCTTTAAGCTTTGCAGCATTTAGACTTTATTTTGACTGAAATTTCTGTACCAGATATATCATTCGTATTGTGTGTTTTGAGGGCAGGTACAGTCCAGGTAGTCCTGAGAACAGGTTTCATCCAAAGTGGATTTTCTTTAATTAAAAAAATAAATAAATCAATCTCACAGCAGTTCCACTGAGAAATGCTTGCAGTCTGCATTGTAGTGGCTGAAAAGGCCTGTTGCTGGTTTTATGAGAAAGTATTCTCAGCTGAACAATCATGATTCTATCAAAAATTGTGATTTGCCCACATCCAGTGAGTTGTTTGGAGCTGGATGTCCAATTCTCTGAAGGTTGGAGTACTGCTAGTTAAATTACAAGTGTTGGAGGCTACTTCCCTGCCTCCCTGCTATCTGTTCTGGAGTAGTAGTCCTTAATTGCAGAAGGCACAACTGCTTGAGGCTTGAGGCAGGGTTGGGACAGGAGCTTAGGAAGATGGGTTTACAAGTGACTGGCAATTTCATTAGTCTGTGTACTGCATTTCCTACCAAGCATTTGGTAGGAAAGATAATTATTACGTGATTAAGGACCATATTATAAAATTATACTCAGGACTGGAATGAGGCTGCCCAAGCTATTTTAATTCCATCATCTTCTGATCGTTGGTCGTTTGGCAGCTACTTGTCTTTGAAAATAATTTTTGTATGCAGTCTCCTTTAGATTGCATATATTGCATTTATTGTGGGTTTGTTTGGGGCAGGATAAGAAATTTTTGGTAAATGCTCAGAGCCTGGACATAAGATCCATCAGTATTTCAGGACCTATCTCTTGTTTTGTCCTGGATAAACTAGGACCTCTCCTAATTCAACAGTTCCCTTTATCACCCTAAACATGGCCAGCCTTAGTGTTGTGTTGCTTGTGCCTTCTTTCAGACATAATTAACTCTCTATTCCCTCGAAACATCTTTGATTACCATTCACACAATTAAATTTGTAGTCCACATAATAATTACATGCAACATAACTCTAGGACTCTGAAGAATACCGAATTTCTCTTTGCTTTGAGCAGCCAGAAGTACAACTTTTTTGTTGTTGCAACGTGCTTCCAAAGTCTCTTGAGACTGACTATAAGAAGAACCTCAGGACACTCCAATATGGTAAAGGGGTGACGTAAGCAAGGTTATTCTTAATTATCTAAGACTGAAATCCAATCTGTATGTTATGGAGGGCCTACCAAAGAATCACAGTGTAACAGAAAATTCAGATTCAGTTGCATGTACTATGTATGACCTGATTTATTTCTCAGAGACGTCCCTTCATTGGTACTGATCTTCACAGATCACTGTGAGAACCTGTGCTTTCCAGGATCTCGAACAGATAGAAGTATACGACTCTAAATGTATCAGTACAACATGAGCACAGTCAGAATAAACAAATTAGTTTATTGTTCAGTGTTCTGTTACAGCTTTGACCTGTATTTCCTATTATCTTCTCTTTTGAAGACATTGATGAATGCCTGACTCCAACTACTTGTCCAGATGCACAGTGCATTAATGCTCCTGGCTCTTACCAGTGCATTCCTTGCAGAGTGGGATTCAGAGGCTGGAATGGGCAATGCCATGGTATGTTCAGTACTCTTTGTATCTCCAGTTATAGTTCTTGTTTTAAGATGCTATATTTCCTATTTCACTAATGTTACAACTGGATGACACCACTGTGCCCTGGGTCCCCATTTCATCGATAATAACTGAAAAGATGAGATTTTTTTAAATTACTTTGTTCTTAGACACAGTATACATGAAGAAATTGGTTTACTGTAGATAAATGAACGTTGAATCTAGACTGCAAACAATACAATCATAATTACAAATCAAAACTCTTGAAATAGAAAATATGGAACTGAAAGGGATGTATTATCAGTGAAATGGTAGTAGGCCATTGCTTGAAGGTATTAGCAAATGGAAAAAACATGAATGCGAATATATGGAATAGCTCTGGAAGATGGGCACCTACGGTGCTTCAGCCACAAATGGGCTTTTGTTTTGTGGAACACAACTAGAGCCAAATTGCAGTGAAGTACCTGAAGAATGTATGGTGTGGCTGTCCCAGCCTTGCCAGTTTTGCTGTACAGGTTCTAAAGAAGGCAGATTGTAGCAAATTATTTGTCTGAACTTATCTGCCTGTCACAATTTATCAGCATGTTATAGTTGAATTATTTGGTCTTGGCATTTGACTTACTGTCAAGGAATGAATGTCCAGGTAATTTCATGGATTTTAATGGAGTTAGAGCAAGCTAGAAATGTTTACCACAAACTGATGTGGTTCACTTAGCACACATTACTCCACGTTCATCTTTGGTTTGTTCCTTCCCACCTATCCAGATTCCTGCT